TCTCTCTCTCTCTCTCTCTCTCTCTCTCTCTCTCTCTCTCTCTCTCTCTCTCTCTCTCTCTCTCTCTCTCTCTCTCTCTCTCTCTCCCCTATCCTCTACCTCTACTCTTCTTAGCTCAGCGCTGAAATGCAGCGCTGGTCCAGCGGCGTATTGCTCAAGAAGTGAGCACATCGAACTCCCCGGTACCCAGGGTGAGGCCCAGCTATATACTGTGCTGGGCCCCACTGGGTAGATCGCGGTGTGGCTTAGAACGGTCCGTACGGTCGAGGTCCCTACCGGGGCCCAGACCGTGCTGCTGATGCAGCAGGGCGCCGAAATGCGCTTGGCCATTTTAGCCCTGTGTTCGGTGCACCCAGCCCAAGGCCGTGCCTTGGGGACTGCAAGTCCGGAACGGCGTCTGAACGGACAAAATAGGACAGCACATCACGGAAATAAATTAACTAATTAATAAATGAATAAGTGAGTGCTGCCTCACCCTATACCTGCGGCCTAGAGGGCCGCCGTGGGCCTCCAGGGCGCACGCTGGATGGTGTGCGGCCTGGGGGCCCCTCAGCAACCGTCGGGCCCTGCAAATGGGGCCCGTGTGCAGGCGCAGCATGTAACACCCCCCGGTCCTTATGAAGTCAAGCCGGGTCGAGGGCAAAGCTGACGATCTGAAGGTGGAACCTGGACACGGGTGCGACGTGGAGCCGAAGATACCGGCTTGCCTTGCAACTTGCGTTCGTAGTGTGCGAGAACATCCGGAGCTGTTGCTTGCAGTTCCGCACGGGTCAACCAATGAGCAGCTTTATGGGTGCAGTACGCAAAGTGTACCAAGTAGTTGGTCGGCCTGTTGCCGTAGCGTCGTTGGGAGATGATATCGCCAACCTCTTGAAAATCGTTCATAGAGGGTGGGTCTTGCGATCATCGCCCGGGGAAGTCGTCATGTTCCGCTGGCGTGTGAAGAGTCAACTTGGAGCAGTGAAAGACGGGGTAGACGGGCAAGTGGGCAGGCACCTGAATGACAAATGAAGGTCCTTCGGGTGCGTCCCTAGCGGGTGCCACGATTGGCCAGGGCCCCATCCATTTCGGGAGGAGCTTGCGAGAGATATCTTGCTCGAGGCTGAATTCTGCGGCGCAGACCCATACGAGATCGTCGGCGCGGAATGGACAGGGGAGACGTTGTCGATTTGCCTGTTGGTTCATGCGTTGCTGCGTCTTTGCCATCTGGTCGCGTGCCTTGACAAGTAGCTCGTGCGTCGGACGCAAGAAAAGAAGATGGTCATCGCTCCCGGCCGCCCATGGAATGATCGTGTCCAACGGAAAAGTGACCGGCGAGTCCTGCTCGAACTCAAAGGGTGATATCCCGATAGCCGGATGGATGGACGAGTTGTATGCCAACTCGACATCCGGCAGCCGCTCATCCCAACGAAGGAGAACCTGTGCGATCTGATGTGCCCTCTTCGTTTGGCCATCGGTTTGGGGGTGGCGATCTGAACTCGTCATGAGAGATGAGCCCCATCGTTTGATGAGCGCCAACCAACAATTGGACATGAGCCGAGTGTCGAGGTCGCATACGATTTCCTTGGGGTAACCCTTGGTTCAAATCCAACCGGCATAAAGAACCTCGGCCAACTCCGGGCCCTTGGCATGATAGCAGCAAGGCAAAAACATGGCGAACTTGGTGAGTCGGTCGACCACCGTGAGAATCCCATCCACACCGGTCTTGTGCTTGGGGAACGGCCCGATGATGTCCACGACAATCGCTTCTCTTCGGCGCAAGGGGACTGGTAATGGTCGCAACTCGTCGTATGGAGGATGATTGCGGGATTTGACTCGCAATAGCATGTGACGTCGCCGAGAAGGTCGGACCACCAAAAGCGCTCGCGAAGTCGGTCAAGCGTTCGATTGACTCCGAAGTGTCCGGTGGCGGGAGCGTTGTGGAACTCGCCAAGAAGCCACGTATGCAAGTGAGGGTCACTTGGAACACAAAGAAGATCCTTCCCCCGCATGTGGACAAGCAAGTACCCCTCTTGGATCCGGTACTGTGATGGCACCGGATTGGGAGAGGAGCAATTCGCGTACTTGTCGCGAAACTCGGGGTCGGCTTGGTAGCCGCGGATGAACCTGTCCCGCAGCTCGTCATCGATCTCGAAGGTCAAATAGATTGCGGTGCACTGAACCGGACGCCGTGAGAGAGCATCCACAAAACAGTTTGACTTCCTCGGAATGCGATCGGGAAAGAAATGAAACTGGTCGATAAAAGCCACCCAACGGGCGATGGTGCTATTGACCGTGTCTGGGGTCTTCTAAAAGATCAACGGATTATTGTCCGTTACCCATCGGAATTGACTTCGACCAAGGAGGAAATGTCGCCACTGCTTGAGAGCGTGGACGAAGGCTAGGAGCTTCTTCTTTTGTGCATCATCGATTGAGTGCATAATGGGCACTTTCTTGCTGAAGGTACTCGATCAAGTGCCAGTCCATGCCATCGTGTTGTTCGAGGACGTCCTCAATGCCATAGTCGGACGCATCCGTAGTGACTCGCGTTGGCAATAGTGGGTCGTAGATGCGCAAGACCTCCGTGGATAGTAACGCAACTTTGAGGGCAAAAAATGATTCCCACGCATCCTCACCGAAGTCGAACGGTCGATCCTCGCATTGAAGCTTGGTTAAGTGAGCCGTGATCTTCCAGTATCCCTTGATAAAACGTTGGTAGTAGTGGGCAAGGCCAAGAAACGAATGGACATCCGTGACGTTCCGCAGCTCTAGCCACTCTTGGATGGCTTGAATCTTGTTCGAAAATGAACTGATGCCCTCCGGTGTGATGAAATGGCCCAAGTATTCCAGCTCTTGCCGGACAAATTCGCACTTGTTGCGATTGGCTTTGTACTTGGTGCGGCGGAGCGTCTCCAACACTCGTCGAAGGTGCTCAATATGATCCTCGAATGTCCGGCTGTAGACGAGGATGTCGTCTAAGTAGACCAGCACGAACCGGTCCAACATCGCACGAAACTCGTTGGTCATTGCCGCTTGAAAGGTCGTTGGGGCATTGGTGAGGCCAAAAGGCATGACCACCCACTCAAAATGCTTGTACCGCGTCTTGAATGGGGTTTTATAGCGATCATTCGGGCGTATTGAAATTTGATGATAGCCCGACTTCAAGTCCAACTTGGAAAAGTTATTTGCGCCGCCAAGTCGCTCAAGGAGATCGTCAATACGAGGAAGAGGCCCCGCATTCTTGACGATTTGCGCGTTGAGCTTGCAGCAATCGATGCACAATCGTAGATCCTTGTTCTCCTTCCATACGAAGAGAATTGGCGTTCCATACGGGGAGCTACTAGGGCGGATCCAGCCCTTGTCCGACAAGTCGTCGAGTTGTGCGCGAAGGACCGTAAGCTCCTCCTCGCTCATGCGATAAGTGCAACCCTTCAGCGGCACGGCACTGACCTCAAGAATGATGTCGTGAGAGATCGGTCGTTCCGGCACCACACCGGTAGGTGACTCGAAGATGTCAGCGAACTCGTCAAGCAACCGCACCGCACGGGGGTCCGAAGACAAGTCTGTGGGTGAAGAGTCGTCTACCGCGATGGTTCGTAGGAAACATAGGCCCATCTCATCGGGCTGCTCGTAAGCATTAGTAGTCCGGAATGACTTGGCCGTCACCACTTGGCACCGGATTGAAGGGTGCGGAAGAGGAATAGTAGATGGCACCTCGACGTCGAAGGCGTCCCGGACGGTAAGAGTCTGTCGGTGGAAGTTGACCTTGTGATCCGCACTTGCAAGCCAAGGCATTTCTAAAATGATATCGAAGTCCGTGTCCAAAATGTCGAACATCACTGGTTCTCATGCATGAGGTGCGAAATGCACCGGTACGGCCTCGATGTAGTGGTCGATAAGTTTTTGCGTCCTTCAATCCACCAACTTGATCGCTGTCGGGTTTGCCCTCCTCCGAGCTTGTGGGCCAAGGTCAGCCCTTTGCATAAAGGCTTGGCTCATGAAATTGCGAGTCGCGCCGCTATCCAGCAAAGCGCTGCAGGACGCTTGCCCAACTTGGATGCAGACATAGAGGAGCGGTGCGTTGGTGTCATCGTACCGCTGCGTGTGAAACTCGTAGGCCACCTTGGTAACATACGCAAGGATGTCCCCCACCGCAGCTTCGCTATCCGCCGGCGAAGTTGGGGGCCTGGGATGCAGGTCCAATACCTTTATGTTGAACTCGCGCACCGAATCCCATAAAGAACCATTTGAAGACGATAAGTCGTCGCTGTCGGACGGAGAAGATGCCACACACACGTTTTGTCCTTGAGCACGAGTACCCAGCGTAGGAACGAGTCGGGCAGCATAGTCCTTATAAGAATATAAAAGAGGACTATCGACTTCCGCATGTGCCTTGGAATGAAGGGCGGTCCCTCACGTAGCAACCGTTTCCGAAGGCGTCGAGAGTGTCGTCGACTCACTCCCCACGGTGCTCAGTTTCCCGATTTGCCTTTGCCTTTCGACGGAATGCCCACTGTGTCGTGGAGATCGCTGTTGCACCACAAACAACAGCGGAATCCTGTGCGTAGCTTGTATGCGTGTTTCGAGAGACGTAGTGGACCCATGGGGCTTGAGCTGTTGCGCCGGGCCCGGGGTTTGATGTGGTGTTTGTCTTCGATTTGCCGCGTCCTCGGCCTTTGCCGGGGTGGCCACCATCCCGGGCGACTGCGAGTCTGTCCCATTCATTGGCAGGCATGGCCTCGCTTGAAGGGTCGGTCGGCGTTGCCGCCACGACCACGACCACTTTCGGCCGATGCTGTTCTCTGCTCGCCCCTGCCGCAGATGAACGGTTGAGGTTCTTGGCCTCCAAGTTCGTCATAATAATCTGCACGGCCTTGTCGAACAGCTCCGCTGTTGTAATGAGAGTCTCCGCAACGTGAATCAAAGCGTTGGATAGTGTCGGACGGGAGCTCGTAATGAAGTATTGTTTGATGGTCGTAAAGCCCATTGGTACGTCCGGCGTTGACGCCAAGCGTTGGAACTCGGCAATCCAATCGCCGCTCGGCAGCGTGCCTTGTTCGAAAGTCAGCAATTTGTCCATTGCTTTGATTTCCAGCGGCTATATTTGGAACCGCTTATGCCACGCCTCCTTCGGATCATCCCAACTGATCTTGGTATATAAGTCGGCAGCCACCACCCCGTACTTGGGCAAGAGATTGTCCAACCACACTTGGCACGCGCCCCCCGATCGGGAGTACAAGTACATGTGTTTCTTCTCTTCGCTGACGTGGTAGAGCTGTAACTTGAGCTCGAACTTGCGGAACCACGAAATTGGGTCCGTCTTTGTAGAGTGGTAGAAGATCTCCTGACCATCGAACTTCGGAGTCGTCTCCCGTGGTGACGTGCTCGAGTTAGCGGCGGCAGCGCAGATCCGCTGCTCAAGTTGTTGAGTTGTGGTTTGTTGTAGTTGCGCGCCGTTCTTGAGTGCTCCAACGCCGATTTCCAATGCGTCAAGATGATCGGACGTGTTGGAGGAGCTGGTGACAGGTCGTTGCTCCAGCTGTTGTAGACGGCTGTTGATTTGCTTGACCTGGCCGTCGAGGCTATGGATGTCCTCCTGTTGTGCAATGCACGTTGCCAGGCCGTCCGTGAGGTGGGAGATCAACAGCGAGATTCGTGGTCCGCTGTCGTTGAGTTCGCCACCTTTGGCCTCTGCCTGCCATTCCGCTGCCATAGTGAGTAGAGCTCTCTCCTCGCTGAATACCTTCTCGCGTCGTTGACTGCGCTCTTCATCGGCAGCATGTGCTGCTGCCTCGTTGTGCTGGCGCTTCTGTTCGATTGCCAGCAGACGTGCTTTCTGTGCATCCTCGGCCTTCTTCTTCTCTGCGGCTGCTACCGCATCCGATCGTTGCTTGGCCTCGGTAATGAAAACCAGCATCCGCGCCTGATAGGCCTCGACCGTTCCCCCTGCTTCTGGTCCATGCCGGCTGTTTGAGAGCGCGTGAGCATAGACCAGGCCGGAGGATTGCTGACGTGGCACTCCCTGCTGCTGATGTGGCACTGCTCAACTGCGGACGTGGCACGGTTGTCGACTGACGTGTCACTACTGACGTGGTCTGCTAATATGGCCTGCTGATGTGGTCTGCTTACGTAAAACAATTTTTTCGAGAAATTAATAATTTGCGAGGTTGAAAAAACAAAGGTCGAAGGTGAACCAATCACAAAAAAGCAAAAAACAGAAGGGAAAGAAGAAGAAGTGATTGTATGGAAGTATCCTGATGGGAAAATACCGGAATTGGATGATCTTCATGAAAGACACGGAGTGGTATTCAACTTCTCCCGCAATGGAGCAGATCTCATGGCAGCAGAGAAGAGAAAATGGATTATAGAAACAATAAAAAAGGAGGCTAAACTCAAGCATGTGGGGGAGGCCTTTTCTCTGCAGATTTTGGGTCGTAACAACATCATGGTGCTCTTCAACAATGAAGACCACGCACGGATCGCAGCAGAAATGCAGTCCAAAAACTGTAACGGATCAATCTGTACGATAACCAAATGGAAAAAACTGACTGCTGAGAGGCAAAATCCAACCTTCGCGGTATCCTACAAACAGACGCTGATGAAAGAGAACTTTTGGGTTCAGTTCGACAACATCCAACCGGGATTCCATGGTCTGTTGGTGGACAGACTGGAGAGACAATATCCAGCAAACAAAATCCTCAAGTGGATTCTGCCGACTCCAGACTTTCTAGCACCTCACTGTGGATCCATGACGGCTCTACTAGAAGTCAAGACGGACGACCCCCCTGTTTTCCCACTGACATGGAAATTCCAGATCGAGAGCAGAGTCCTGGAAATTAAAGTCTCCACCAAGACCTCTCCGATCTGCTTCAGATGCAGAGAATGCGGGCATATGGGAATGGATCCAAATTGCCCGAAGTTTCCGAAACAGTCAAAGGAACGGAAACTYCATCCYAGCATGCTCGTGGAAGTTGAGGATGCCCKAGGCACTTGGTTCATCGTAGATTCTAACTACGATGGCTGGGTGTTTGATGACAATTTGGATGACCCAGATTGGGTGTGGCACTACGCTGATCAGGAACCCTCAGTGAAAAAACCCAACATCTTCCCCCCTGCAGATAGCAGATGGCAGAAGAAAGCAACAGGCAAAGTGACAGGGAATCCAACGAAGATAAATACCAACCCTTTGATTGATTCACGTGTGGTTAGAGAGGAAAAAAACAGGGAAGACCTGCTATGGGACTTGGACGCAGTCCGGGAACAGGCAGAGCAGGAATACAGCAAGGAACCAGCAGCATTCCAGGAATTGCTCAGACAGGTGGAACGTGAGGATCAAGAGTGGAGGGCCAAGACGCTAGCAGATAATAAACGCACACTGGACAAAGCAAACTCTCAAAAGATAGCAGAGGGGGGTCTCAAGAAGAGGAAGGCAATGGAAGGAGATGACAAAGATGGGACACAAGAGACCCAGCCAGAATAGGGAAAGGGAATAACAGTTGCTGATGCTCTCGAGGACGGGAACAAAGCAAGCAGCGAAGGGTCGCAGGGAACAGCTGGAGACAGTTCGTCTGAGCCCCAGTCCGAGTCCCAGCGTTCTCTTCACTGGCTCAGGGAATATATCGGGAAGGCCAAGAGGGAGAGAGAGCATGCGTTTGACATCAGAGCAGCCTGTCTTAAGCACATTGAGAGATCCCAGAAAAATGGGAAGAGCGGGACAATTGCTGGTATTGAGAGGTCAAAAAATCAGTACGATGCATTGAAGAAAGAAAAGGCAGAGGAATTTTCGAAATACACTGCCTTCAGATATGCAAAGAAAAAGAGGGCAAGAGAACAAGGGGTAGCAGACAAAGACAAGACAGTACTCAACAACGAAGACCACTTTCAGGATCTGCGCCCAAAAAAATGGAAGACAGGAAAAAATCAGAAGAAAAAGGAACCAAATTCAGACCAAACAGAAGCAGAAGAGGAATCAGCACGCTCACTGCTCGAAAACGAGGTGGCTGTGGTGGTGGCCCAAACAGAAAAAATTATAAAATGGAACGCGGAGTACACACCTGAGTTCACGACCATTCAGCACATCGCCAACAGGGAGGCACCACATGTTGTGGCCTCAGCCAAATCGGCACGACTGACATTGATGGACACCCGTCCTTTGATTGCGGCCAGATACGTGCAGAAAGAGGGAGAATGGCAGATCGCCACATATGTGTCCTTCACAATCCCAAGGATTGAGGAAGGACAAAACGTTGCCAGCATACTTCAGGAAAAGGTAACATAGGGGTACCCACTCGGCATGTACGAAACAGTTTGCGCTGAATGATGGCCAGGAGGACAGTTCGTCCCAAGCAGGCCAAGAGGACCTGCAGGATCATCACATGGACACAGAGAGACACTCCCCTCGCGCTTTCTCCCCGCTGATCGCTAAAATGTCAGAGGAAACCAAGCTGAAGAATGGGATGATGTGGAGACCATGGAGAACAGTCACAGCGATTCCTTACAGCGTGCTGGCGGGACCCGACATTCCAGCGGAACTGCTGGCGGTCTCAGTGACACAACTCTTGACTCATGAGATTTTGGAGGGAGACAGCGATTTGGACTCCAAGGCTTTTGCTATCGATCTGGACAGATACTACAGAAGCGATTGCTCTGAGGGTGAGTTGGAGGAATGGAAAGACGAGGAAGCGGGAGTAGGATCAGATCCGGTCCTCGTCACGGGACAGGGAACCAGCGGAAGTATAGGGGAGTATAAGATGGATGACTCTATCACCACACCGCTTCAGGACCCGCCAGGAGAGGCCTCGCCGAAAATGGATGCGGAAATGGATGCGAGCGACCAGGCCCCCTTCTAGGATGTTTTCACCATGACAGCATCCATCCCCTTCTCTCGTAACCTCAATGATGGACAATTTTATAAAGGGGGCAAACGCAAGACAAGATCGGGTGGACTGGAAGACACAAGGGATAGTTATTAGGAGTTGGAATGTCAATGGGCTTGGAAATATAATTGACAAAGAAGAAAAAATGAATGATATAATTAAAGGACTTACCGTGCACACTAATAAATTGGCAGACATCATATTGTTGCGGGAAACCCACCTCACGTTCTCATCAGAACACAACAGAACACGAAAACTGTTGTCTAGGAAACTTGGAGGAATAAAGGACGAAGTGTGGTCCTCAGACAACGCATCAAGTACAAAAGGAACAACTATTCTCGTACCTAAATCCTCCAGGCTATACACGGCAGGGTCGATAGTGGGGAAAGAGGCAGATATGGTAGAGGGCAGATGGTGCCTTATGGACGTCAAGTGGAAGGAGGAAGAAGTCAGAATAATTAATGTCTATGCACCAAATGTTTCTTCAGACAGATCAACATTTATAACAAACATAGGCCATATGATCCCCCCTCTGTCAGATTGCATTTTAGTTGGGGACTGGAATGCAACAATAGACCCTGTCACGGACCGTATATCTAGATCCTCGACAGGTCAGACTACACAGGAGGCGGTACCCATACAAAAGCTGATGATGGACTACAATCTGGTTGAACCATACCGGATCTTGCATCCGGGGAGGAGAGCCTTCACATTACTGAAGAAGAACCACGCCCACCATATTGCGTTCTCCTTCATTGACTATTTCCTCATCTCAAGGACATTAATGGGGACAGCCAAAAGCACCGACATTCTGCCCCTCGCACCATACTCGGGTCTGGACCATAAACCCATCGAACTCATACTTAGTTTCGAACATTACATCAAAAAGGGGTTCAGCTTTCACAAACTCAATAACTCTCTCCTACTGAGCCAGACTTTTCAGGGAGGAGTTAAGGAGTGTTGGCAGAATCTGAAGGGCGCCTATTTACCCATACATGATCGGTGGAATTGGTTCCAGGAAAGCTACTTTGTTTTATCACAAACGGTGGCTAGAATTTCAAGGAACTTAGCGTCCGATAGGAAACAAAGGAAACAAGCGCTGGAGACAGCCGTGAAGATTGCAGAGACTAATCTTATTGATAATTCCTCATCTGCACTCTACACAGACATTTTCGAAAAAGCGAGAGAGGAACTTACCATGTGGAGATGGTGGGAACTAAAGGGACTTCAAATAARAGCCAGAATGACCAAATATGAGCTAAGTGAGTCCATGTCGAAACACTTCTTCGCAAGAATCAAAGCAAAYTCCAGAGCTAACGCGATAGAAGGGTTGAATACTCTCTCAAACCCAACTGAAACCGTCACAGATAGCGAAGGGATGTTGAACATAGCCAAGGATTTCTACGAAGAGCTTTATCACACCAAGACTCCTGTGCCTACTCCGCCAAGCACCAGAGAAGCACGAACTAGGATGCTGCAATACCTGGAATGGATGATATCTCAGGAACAAGCAGAAGCCCTGGATAAGCCCATCACCATTGAGGAATTGCATTTTGCAGTCCAAAATATGAATAGTAACAAGTCCCCAGGAATCGACGGGCTGACAAAAGAATTTTGGGAAAAGTTCTGGCCACTCTTAGGGGGCGATCTGATTAATTTCTATAACGACAGCTGGCACAAAGGGGGATTGGGAAACCTATTGAGCAGTAGTGTGGTCACTTTGCTTTACAAAAAAGGGGAGAGAGAAGACAATCAGGAATTATAGACCCATCTCGCTTCTAACGCTTCCCTACAAGATCTTAGCCAAAGCACTAGCTTTTCGAATCCTGGACCTGACGGACAAATGCTTCCATATAGATCAAACAGGCTTTATCCCTGGGAGATACATTCTAGACAACGTACTAACCCTCAGCGAAGCGGCCAATAAAGTCAGAGAAAAAAGGATAAACACAACAATTCTTTTCTTTGATTTTGAAAAGGCTTATGACCAAGTCAACTGGGCCTTTCTCAATGCAAGCATGGAAAAGATGGGAGTGGGCCCGAATTTTAGAAAGTGGGTGCGAATCCTATATAATGATGCCATAGGGTGTGTTCAAGTCAATGGTCTRCTTTCGGACTGCTATCCAATATCTCGGTCAGTCCGACAAGGGGACCCACTAGCTCCCCCAATCTTCCTCTT